ATTTGTTTTCCACCGGTTTGACCCATTTGTTTTGCTATATAACAAATCACTTAATGACTGGTCCCTTGGGAACAGTGAATTTTATTTCCCGAGAATCTCAATGTTTCCCGAGACGAAAAGATTCTCAGGAAACACTTTTCCCCAAGGGACCACCAGTCAATTAAGTGTTAATTATATTGATGTTGGCAGCCACCATTGTTGTAGTAGTGACTAGGTCTGCTACGGGCCATTAAGAACGAGGAAGTGACAATTATGAGTAAAAAAACATAACACTTTTACGTTTCCAGTAAGGTTTGTACAACTTAGTTGCGAGAAAAATTACAGAGTAGAATATTTAAATGAAGTATCCCACAAACTAACGTCGTAGAATGTTTAATTTCAATCATTAATTTACTTCATATCAAATTAAGTTGTGTGACTGAATTTGCGGGAATAATAGACCCTTATTATTAATCTCTTACTAACTGAGCACGAGGGCCGAACTGGAAAATATTGGCCCTCGCTCGTGGTCTGGCGCAGTGAGTTTCGTACAAAAACGTCGAGGGCCAAATATATTCGCCAGTGCGGCTCGAGCAAGCTAGATTAGTACACTGCTTATGATCATTTCCATGGAAACGATGCGTATGGCAAAATACCGACCGAGAAAGAACCAATCAAAGGCTCGGATTTGCTTCAAGACTACCATGCTATATAATAATGGTAGAAAAACACATTTCTAATGTAATCTAATAATAATGTAATTCCTAATGTAATCTATTCCAGGGAACACGTTTTGCAGATGTATCAAGGCGAAACAGAGTTTTCAAAGGAAGTTTACGTTTCTCCAGCAGGCTTGGTGGTAAGTCTTTAGGAACAAAAGACAGCAAATGTCTGCTGGATAAATCCCAACAATCCCCGATTTTTCACAGAAAGTTAGTAGGGGTATAGTTCGACAATAAATATAGCTCGAGAATGGTTTCGTCTTTTTGGTCAACAAATTTCACTGTAAAATTTATAGCATTAACAGACTTCTGAAATTTCGGTAAAATTAATCCTCAATATGCAGACTTATTACTTTTCCCAGCTGTTAAAATCAAAATGTTTGTAATTTTCTGCGAACATTTTGTAGCATGTTAGAAAATGTTCAAATAAGAGTATCAGACTCACAAGTTACGGACTTTACAAAATCACCTTATTTTACAATGTTAAGCCCTATCATAAATAAATAAATAAATAAATAGGTAAATAATAATTAAATAAATAATAAATAAATAAATAGTATCATATGAAATATCTGTAAGTGAACTGTACTCGATATGATTTTTGTAACACAATTTGACGAGAAAACTTGAGATTGAAAATACTGAGGAGTGTAGGTACATTTGAAAACAAAAAAAAAACAAAAGAAATGTTTAATCAAGGGTAGACATTACCTTGGCAAAACATAGGCTACCTCAGACTCAGATTCGTATTTGACAGGGATGAGACTTCTAGCTTCTAATTGTTCTTTTTCTCTTTTTGTCACTCGCAGGGAAAAAGCCTACGATTTTCTGGATATCAGATAGCCTATTCGTTGATTGGTATGACACAAACTAACGTTATATCGCTGGCGTGAACAAGGCCTTATGCATCACTGTAACTTGCCAGGTTTAAGGTTTTTTTAGTCCCGTGATGGGGAGGGGGGTGGAGTGGGTGGTACTCCGATAAATATTGGTTGGGGGTGTGCGGCCTGCTTTCCAAAACCCTTACCCTCTCTGCAATTTTCTCTAACCCATTTATGACCTGGAAAAGTAGCTTCTTCTAAAAAAAGATATACGCAGTTTAAGACTAGAGTGCAAAAACCCATACCCTGTTTAGGACCAAAATGGCCAATATCAATACCCTATGACCAAAACGGCTGAAAAGCATACCCTTTGGGGCTGCACATACCTATATAGCCCATATAAGGGGTACCCCCGGGGGGAGGGGGGCTTTAGTCAGCCGTTTATTCAGGAACTCCTTGAAACTAGGTTTCAAAATTCAGAAAGAGTTCTTCTTGGAGATAATGCTGCATCGCTTCCGGAAATTGACTGTGGAAATGTTTAGGAAAGTTCTCCGCTTTTAAAATATCTAACATATATAAGAACAGTGAAATTCATGCAAGGGTTTTTTCTCTCTCTCCTAAGGTTACTTCACTCTGTGGGCATTTCTATCTGTTGTGGCAATTGTTCTGGCAGCTATTTTCAGGGATCCAAAACAAGTATTTTCCGCAGAGATAGCAAACCAATTAGAAGACGCAGTATTGGCTTTTCTGTGAGTTTTGACCGATTTAACAGTTAAACTTTACTGGCGCATTCTTTACATCTTTAATGACATCATAAATCTTGCCACAACATGTTTCACTGAGTCCCCTAGAAAATACTTTTATAATTGATTTTATGCGGTCGCAGAGTTTACTACAACTCAATAGCTTTCATTTGAGTGGTCACACACTGGGGCTTCATCCAGACAGTTAAAATTTAGAACGACCTTGCACAGCATAATAAACAGTGCCACATGAATGTACTGCTCAATAACTTTTATTTGAATGGTCACACACGAGGGTTTCATCCACAGATTTAAAAGCTAGAACCATTTTGTACAGCATAATAAACAGTACCA